ACCCAGGGCCTCGAGCATGCAAGGCAAGCGCTCTACCACTGAGCCACCTTCCCAGCCCCCTTAGGTAACTTTTCTAAGGGAAGTTTAGCAAACACTTCTGCTGGCTATATATCATCTTGGCCCTTTGCAAGTTAACTCATGTTTGTCCGTCTTATTGATATCACTTTGCCATTAGAATTGATTTGTGTATGCATGTGTGCTGGTACTGAGGCTTGAACTCGGCCTGGGCACTGTCACTTAGGTTTTTCAAAGCTCATGTCTGGTGCCATTCTACTTGAGTCATACCTCCAGTTCCAGGTTTTTGCTGGTTAACTGAAGATGGTCTTACAGTGTTTCTGCCTGGGCTGTCTTTTGAACTATGATCCACACATCTCCGCCTCTGGAATAGCTAGGATTATAGGCATGAACCACCAGTGCCCGGTGGAAATGATTTTTTTTTTCCCTAAACCCTTCTCCAAGTAGCCCATAAGGTCTAGAAGAATAGTAACCTGATTGGCTTCTCTGTCCCTGACACCTATGAATTGTCACTTAAGAGTTGGGCAATTAGAAGGTTGAGGAACAACTTGGAAAGAATGATAGGCAAAATAGATCCGTTACAGAGTGCCAGGCATTAGTGCTTTACATTTGACATGTCTTATAGTCCTTAAAACAAGGCAGGAGAGCCTACTCTCATCACTATGTAAAGTTCTAGATTGTGACTCAGTTGATGGGAACTGCCAAAGTTCACAAAGCCAATAGATGCTGAAACCAGCATTTACTTCCTATTCTTTTTCTTTTTTTTTCTTCTTTTTTGGGGGGGGAGGAGGTGGGCAGTCCTGGGGCTTGAACTTGGGTCATGGGCACTGCCTCTGAGCTTCTTTTGCTCAAGGCTAGCACTCTACCATTTGAGCCACAGCGCCACTTCTGGTTTTTTCTGTTGATGTGGTGCTGAGGAGTGGAACTCAGGGCTTCATGCTAGGCAAGCACTCTATTACTAAGCCACATTCCCAGCCGCTTACTTCTATTCTTTTACTCACGGGTGGTGGTCCATGCATCTGGTCCACATATTGCCTTTCACTGTGTTCTACCTTTTCCCAAGGTCTCCCGCCTGCCATGCAGAAGGTCATGTATAAGGGACTTGTCCCTGAAGATAAGACATTGAGAGAAATAAAAGTGACCAGTGGAGCCAAGATCATGGTGGTTGGCTCCACCATAAATGATGTTTTAGCAGTGAACACACCCAAAGATGCTGCTCAGCAGGATGCAAAGGCCGAAGAGAACAAGAAGGAGCCTCTCTGCAGGCAGAAAGTGAGTCCACCCTGTGCTTGTTGGTCCTGAGCAATTTGAGGCTTTGTCCTCTCTAGCCTTGGCTGCTTACATTCTCCCTAGAATAAGCTCCTCTTTGGACAGGGTCCATGATGGAAATTTATGGCAGCAGTTGGGTGCGGCAGAGTGGAGGTGACAACTACCTGAGATTTGCAACTTTGTCTCATCTGGCGGGTCAGTGTGTCTCAAGTCTACCTACTTTAGGATAAGGCCTTTGGAAAGGGAAGCTTCAGACCAGAGAATAGAGTCAGACCCGGGTTTCTCTGTCCTGTTGCGTGCCAGAGGAAAAATGCCTGAGTTCAAATTCGGCCCCATGTTGTCCAAGTGTTCACATTTGTGGGGTTTTGTTTTTTGTTTTTCTTTTTTTTGCTTCCCCCGAGTCATTAGGCTTAGTCTTGGTAGGCATGGAAATCACATTTCAGAGGTTTCTCTAAATGTGACTATTTCAGGAAACCAAATGGAGCTGTAAGAAGATAAGGACACTGGGTTTCATTTTGTCTTTTTGTCCTGATACCTGAAATGGAGGCCTGTTTTTCACTTTTATCTTGGTTGCTCATTTTGAATAGTAAGGTTCTAGCTCCAGGTTGTGCTTACTGTAGCCTAAAACAATAATGATTTTACTATAGAAGAAAAAGATTGGAAGAGCCCTTCCTTGTGACTGTATTCCCCAATGAGTGCCACTTGTTACTGAATCGCATTCAGGAAGGAAAACAAGTGTTTTGCCTTTTGTTGTTGCTTTTGTTTTGCTTGGGCTGGGGTCAGAACTCAAGGCTTTGCGTATGCTAAGCCTGTCACTGAGCTACACCCCCAGCATAAATAATTGACCCTGTATCTTCAGTGGAGATTACTTTGAGCCAATATTAGTTTTAGTGGTAATAGGCTCTAAAGCATATGACCAGCAACAGGACAGAAGACCCATAATCCATTCTGTGTGCTCCCAAGTCCCAAAGGGATATGAAAACCACAAGTGTTTTTGCAACCTGGCAGCAAAGCCTGAGCAGAATCCCTAAGAAATAGTCACATTTTTCTATAGAAGTATTAAATGTGTATGGGGACAAATTGCTGTTCCAGATACCATAGGGGGTATTATGTAATGTAACTTAAAACCATATTGTTTTTACAAAAATCTCTGAAATGTTATAGTCTAGAACATCTTCCCATGATTTTTTTTAAGTGTTTTAATTTTTTTTTGGTGGCAGCACTGGGACTTGAACTCAGGACCTTGCCTTATGCTTGGCTTTTTTGCTTACGGCTGCCACTCTAACACTTGAGCCACACCTCCACTTCTGGCATTTTGTTTGTTTCATTTGGGCTTTGGTGCTGGGGCTTGGACTCAGGGCCTCAGGCTAAGCATGTGGTCTACACCCGAATACCCTAGCCCCCGTCTACAGAGTTTAGATAAGAGTTGGATAGGTAAGACTGTTAGGTTACAAACCTACATTAACATCTAAAAGGTGTATATTTGGGCAGATTTAATCTCCAAAGATGGAGACCTAGTTTCTAGTCATCTCCTGAGTTTTTTTCTGTCTTCTTGTCTTCTTTGAGTTTGAGGTAGATGTCCATGTTCTCAAGGCCACGCCCTTGAGCAGAACTTGCCTCTTAAATACAGGTTTGAGTTACTAATGGTAGCCTAACAGGCTTGGAACTAGTCTCCACTGTGCAGGGGAGAGCCTTCAAAAGGTTCTTGTAAAGACGCAAGGCTGACTCAAGTGATGCTTGCAGCCTGTGCTGCTGTTGTGTCAATGATGCCACTTTATAAGGCGCTGCCTGGCTTGATTGAGAGGATCCAGCCCCTCCCCTCCCACTGGCAAGTTAGAGATGTGGAGGGTGACCATGTGCTTGCTTGTACTCTGACAGTGGTTGAGTTCATTTCTGCCAGAAGGTAGACCATGCTGGTGAAGGTGTGAGCTGGCTCATGGCCTCCTGGTGCTTAAGTTTGACCAAATTCCTTGGCCTGTAGTTCAGCTTTACCAAGCTTGCATTAGCAGTAAAGCCACAGGTGGAGAGACAAGAGTTGGCCATTTAGGGGGCTGTGTACTTGAAACTCTTAGTGAGCTGCCTCTCAGTCCTAGAGTTGGGATGGGTGAGGGCTGGAGGCTGCTTCGTGGCAGGAAACACAGGGGTCAGCAATTGAGTTTGGAAATGTGGCTCCTCACATTTTCTACATAGCTGGGATTGAGGATGGAGCCATCACTATGGTAGACTGGAACTCCTTTTTTTGTTTTTTTCAGTCATGAGGCTTGAACTAAGGGCCTGGGCACTGTTTCTGAGCTCTTTTGCTCAAAGCTAGCATTCTGCCACTTAAAGCCACAGCTCCACTTTCAGTTTTCTGGTGATTTATTGGAGAGAAGAGACTCAAAGACTTTCCTGCCTGGGCTGGCTTTGAACCATGATTCTCAGATCTCAGCCTCCTGAGTAGCTAAGGTGACAGGTGTGAAGTGCTAGCACATGGCTTGGAATTCTGTTTTTGAAGAAATACCCTTGGGGTTTTCAGCTGGTAGATAGCACCTTGTAGTTTTCTTTGGAGTTGAAGAGGACAGCAAGTGCTGCCACTCTTGCCCTGCCACGAGAGTGCCGTGTTTGTGGCCATCCTTCGCTCAATGCTTCATCCTTTCAGCAATGACTATTTGGTGAGAAGGGAGTAGAGGGATTGAAGCGCAGCCTGGACATCTTGCTCGCTCTATAAGGACAGCTGATGAGTAGTACAGTGCCTGAAGTTAAGAGTGGGTCCTGTCTCCTCAAAGATGTAAATTGCAATTGCTTAGTACTCCTCAGAGTTAGTGCCTAGCTCAGGTAGAGACTGCTTCATCGGCTGGCGGGACATCTGTGCTCTGTAGCATCCAGAAGGTTACCCAGAGTCTGTAGAAATCAAGAGGTTTCAAATCTAAATGTTAAGGTTTTCTTCCTCCCATGTGTCAGAGAGATAGCCACACGATTCCAGTGTGGGCAGCTGTCTCATTTAACCTCGTCTTCTGACTTCCGTTCTAGCAACACAGGAAAGTGTTGGATAAAGGAAAACCCGAGGATGTGATGCCTTCTGTGAAGGGTGCCCAGGTAAGCTAGACATTCAGTGACCGTCTGTAATCCAGACAGTCCACCTCTTGAGATTACTGTGATCGAATCCTATCCCTGCCTCTCATACCATGTTCTTGTCCCTCCAGGAGCGCCTGCCAACAGTGCCCTTGTCTGGCATGTACAATAAGTCTGGAGGAAAAGTGAGACTCACCTTTAAGCTAGAACAAGACCAGCTATGGATCGGCACTAAAGGTATGGGGGCCTCCTCCTGGCTTGCTCAGCTGCCAGTGCCTGCTAGCTCTCGTGCCTGAGTGCTGCCTGCTCCTCCTCTGGAAACTGGTCCTCACTGCATTCTCTGCATTTCTGGCTTTTGCTTTGCCTTTCAACACTTGCCTCTCTCTCCCCTGCCCCAGTCCTGGGGCTTGAACTCAGGGCCTGGGCAGTGTCCCTGATTCTTTGGATACTCAAGGCTAGTACTCTTATCACTTGAGCCACAGTACACTTAGCTTTTTCTAAGTGGTTTATTGGAGATAAAGAGTCTCACAGACAAGCCCAGGCTGGCTTTGAACGGTAATCCTCAAGATCTCAGCTTCCCAGAGTAGCTAAGGTTACAAGTGTGAGTCACCAGCACCCAGCTAACACTTGTCTCTTGCTTGGCCTTTTTCCCTCTGATCTCAGAGACAGGCCATCAGACACTGACTCTTTTTGCAACCCAAAGCCAGAGGTCCTGAGTACTTGGCCTGGCCAGGTGTGCTCCCTATACAAGTGTTTTTGGGTATACACACAATTTATAAAAATTGGGAGGTTCACTTTATGTGATGGTAGGGCACATGCTTTGAAAAGAAGAATCAAAAGTTCTGATCATTTGGGGCCTGCATTCTTACATGGAACCAAGGACTGTAGCTAAGGAGTTTTTTTTCCTAATACTAGGGCTTGTGAACTCAAGGCCTGGGCACTGACCCTGAGCTTTTTGCTCAAAGCTAGCATTCTACCACTTGAGCCACAGTGCCTCTTCTGGCTTTTTCTGTTTATGTGGTACTCAGGAATCAAACCCAGGGCTTCATGCATGCTAAGCAAGCACTCTACCATTGAGCCACATTCCTGGTCCCTTTTTTATTTTTTTTTTTGGCCAGTTGTGGGGCTGGAGCTCAGGACCTGGGTGCTGTCCCTGAGCTGCTTTTACTCAAGGCTAGTGCTCTACCACTTTAAGCCACAGTTCCACTTCCAGTTTTCTGGTGGTTCACTGGAGATAAGAGTCTCAAAGACTTTTTTTGTCCAAGCTGGCTTTGAGCTGTGATCCTTAGACCTCAGCCTCCTGAGCAGCTAGGATGACAGGCATGAGCACTTCCTTCATTTATTTATGCTGACCCTGTCTGGTTACCTTCTGGCCTCCCTCCTCCCTCCTCTGCACAAGATCTGGGTCAACGGGAGTTTTCTGGGCAATATCTCAGACCCTCCTGCCTTTCTAGAACATCCTGCTGGTTCTTTGCTTTTTTGGGTCCAGTCGTGGGGCCTGAACGCTGGGCCTGGGCGCTGTCCCTCAGCTCTTCAGCTCAAGGCTAGCACTCTACCACTTGAGCCACAGCGCCACTTCCGACTTTTTTTCCCCCCTGCTTATGTGGTGCTGAGGAATCGAACCCAGGGCCTCATACATGCAAGGCAAGCGCTCTACCACTGAGCCACCTTCCCAGCCCCTCCTGCTGGTTCTTGAAATGAGCAAGCCAAAATGCCAGAGGTGCTTGAACTTTCTTAACAAATTTTCTAACTTGTGATTTTTTTCTAATTTCACTTTTCAATACTTCTCTGCCTGAGTGGAGCAAGCTGAACAAATTTGGAAGGGGTCTCTCCTGTCATTCTGATCCCTCACCGGACCATTCCCAGAGGCTGGCCATCGTGCCCTGGGTCAGAATCAGCTGCCCAGCCTCCCTGGTCTAGTCCATTCATTTGCCCCTCATCAGACTTCTTTGCCTTTGCCTGCGGGTAGCCCAGTGAAAGGCATTGGCCAAGGGAGAGCTGAGCAGACATGGGTAGGGTAGGTGCAGGGAGGGTTCTGGTGGGTCCTGAGGCTCCAGGTGCTTGTTGAAGCCTCGAATACTTTAGTTATGACACACCCCAGAACCAGGGACTGGGCTAAGGAGGACTGCCGAGGTCTCTGCACTGGAGCTTTTATTTCAGCAGTCTCTGTCCTTCAGGCTTTGAGCCATTGAGCAGCCTCATCCTTACCAGCTTTATTGGGGGGTGCTGGTCCTGGGGCTTGAACTCAGGACTTAGGACACTGTCCCTAAGCTTTTGTGCTCAAGGTTAGCACTTTACCACTTGGCCCATAATTCCACCTCTGGGGTTTTTTTTTTTTTGGCAGTTAATTGTAGACAAGAGTCTCACAGACTTTCCTGTCCAGGCTGGACCACAACTGCAGTCCTCTAGTCTCAGCCTCCTGAGTAGCTAGGATCACAGGTGTGAACCACTGGCACCCAGCTCACCAGCCTTATTGAGGGATTCCTTGTGCCTTCCAGAGTTGAGTAAGGCTGAGCTCTTCATTCCTCTGCAGACCCCTTTGCCAGTGTCCATCGGGCTACACGCTCCTCCCCTGTGCCTGGGAATCTGGCCCCGGTATCAGGAGCAGCATAGCCTGTTCCTCAAGCTGGCTGATAACCTCTGGCTTTGTCTTCCACTGGCAAGAAGTGGCTGGCTGTCCTGGCATCTGTGGGGTGCTCTGCTGGGTGAGGAACCTCAAGGCCACCCCTCCCCTTTGCTGCCTGGTGTAGGAGGCCTTGGGCCTAGCCCAAGCAACAGCAGGCAGCTGCCCTGTCTGGAGGGGAGTCAGTCCACCCTTTATCTTGCTCATTGCCATCAGGAACATAGACCTGCTGTTGTCCATTCTTCGGAGTACCAAGGGAAGATTAAAAATCCCTGTTTTCCTGCGAGGTCTCCATACATTTCAGGATGAAATGTGCTTTCTTTAATTTTATTGTGAAGGTGATGTACAGAGGGGTTACAGTTATGTCAGGTAATGAGTACATTTCTTTTTTATTTTTATTTTTTTATTATTATTTTTTTTTTTGGGTCCTGTTGTGGGGCCTGAACTCTGGGCCTGAGCGCTGTCCCTCAGCTCTTCAGCTCAAGGCTAGCGCTCTACCACTTGAGCCACAGCACCACCTCCAGCTTTTTCTTTTTGCTTATGTGGTGCTGAGGAATGGAACCCAGGGCCTCAGGCATGCAAGGCAAGCGCTCTACCACTGAGCCACCTTCCCAGCCCCACATTTCTTTTTTAAATGTCACCCCCTCCCTCATTTTTTTCTGGTTTTTTCCCCTCCCTGCTCTGCTCCATTCCAAGTTGTTGAAATGTGCTTTTCATACTGTCAGTCTTGTTCTGGATATGAGGACTCCATTCTCATTCCCCATTTCAGAGGCCACAAGACCATGGTCAAAGCATGTTTGTTCCTGTTGGCAACTGTTTTCATACCCTACCAGCTTGTCTAGGTTTTTCTTCTTGCAAGGGCTTCTGTGAGTCTTCCACCCTGATTGAAGTGTTTGCTGAGCCTGTGTGCCGGTACCCTGGTATCTGCAGGTGTCCCTTTTCATCTCCCACTGGTCCTGTGGTTAGCCTGTACCCTGCAGCTTCCTTTCTCTCCCTCTCACTTTCTCCACATGCCCCTCCCTGCCTGTCTTAGCTGCCATTCTTAAACGTGCTGCACAATGACATCCACCTCACCTGACTGAGGCCACAGGGACCCCCTGCTCCTTCATTCTCTCCCTGTCCCAGTGCCCGCACCTCAACCAGCGCTGGGTGTGGGCTGTTTTGTGGGTGTTTATTAGTTTCCAGGCTGACTCTTCCCAAGAAAGGCCTGTCTGTTCTCTTGAGACCTGTACCATCGCCACATCCCCTTCCTTCATTGGCTCCCCAGAAGGTCTTAGGGGACACCAATGAGAAGTTTTAGACTTGCTGCCCCTTCTGCAGATGCCTGTAGTTCTGGCAGCCTGTTGAGGGAGGGGTGCTGTGGTAGGAACTGGGACAAGTGGACCATGAATAACTTGTCAAGCCAGGCGCTGGTGGCTCACACCTGTCATCCTAGCTCAGCTCAGGAGGAGGCTGAGATCTAAGAATCCAGGTTCAAAGCCAGCCTAGGCAGGAAAGTCCATGAGATTCTTTTTTTTTTTTTTTTAGGTCCGGTCGTGGGGCCTGAACTCTGGGCCTGGGCACTGTCCCTCAGCTCTTCAGCTCACTTGAGCCACAGCGCCACTTCCGGCTTTTTTCTTTTTGCTTGTGTGGTGCTGAGGAATCGAACCCTGGGCCTCAGGCATGCAAGGCTAGCGCTCTACCACTGAGCCACTTCCCAGCCCAGTCCATGAGATTCTTATCTCCAATGAACTACCAGAAAATTTGAAGTGGACCTCTGGCTCAAAGTAGTAAAGTGCCAGGCTTGAGCAAAAGCAGCTCAAGGACAGTATTCAGGCCCAGAATTCAAGCCCCACGACCGACAGACAAGGTAAATAATAACTGCTGTCATCCCTCTTGTCTAGAGCGCACTGAGAAGTTGCCCATGGGCTCCATTAAGAACGTGGTGAGTGAACCCATCGAAGGGCACGAGGACTACCACATGATGGTGAGTGCACCTGCACGGCAGGCTCCATGTTCCCCTCACCCTGCCGGCCACGTGCCTTCTCCTGTCATTTTCAGAAACATCCGTACCTCTGTTTTGATTTGTAATACTTTGTTTTTAGACCAGGACAATAAATACCCAGAGGAGGAAAGGCTTGTGGGGTTTTTGTTTGGCTTATAAAGAGAGTGTCCCTCCATCCTTGGGGTTATGAGGGTCCCAAGCAGCCTCCCTGCAGGAGCCTTACTTTGGCTGGAGACGCTGCAGGGGGCAGAGGTCAAGCCCTGTGGCACTCAGAACAGCCCGTCTGGAGGTCCTTCGCAGGGGTCAGCAAACCAAGGGATCTGTGACACACCCCTACAGCAGCTTGGGCTAAAGCTCCCTTTCCCATTTTTATTCAGAAAGACAATTTAATAAACGAAGTCCAAAGGCACTGCCCTAGATATCTGACTGGACACACCATCTGCCATTCTCTTCCAGGGAGGCAGGACTTCCAGGAACAGCAGCAGCTAGTGATTTGCCCTGGGGGGTAAAGAGAAGTGTGGGGAGACCCACTCACTGTAGGGCAAAGTCAGTGTAAGGGCTGGGCACGGATGGTAGCTCACACCTGTAATCCTAGCTACTCAGGAATCTGCGATCTGAGGATCGTGGTTCAAAGCCAGCCCTGGCAGGAAATGCCTTGAGACTTTTTTTTTTTAGGGTCCCGTCATGGGGCCTGAACTCTGGGCCTGGGTGCTGTCCCTCAGCTCTTCAGCTCAAGCCTTGAGACTTTTATGTCCAGTTAACCACTTAAAAATGGAAGATATGAGCTGTGGCTCAAAGTGGTAGGACATTAGCTTTGAGCACAAAAGCTCAGGGACAGTGCCTGGGCCCTGAGTTCAAGTCCATGACTGATAATAAAAGTCAGTGGAAAAGCTGCATGGAAGGGGCAAGCTCCTGGGATTGCTTCAGACAGCTCTGGGAACCTTCGTCTATAAGACAAGATTGCAGACGGGCTTATTGAGCTTGCTCTCTTGTTTCTCTGTTGAACAGATGGATTTTCGTGTGTTTAGCTGGGCCTTCTGCTCTGTTCTGACACATTGGTGGGAGCAGTGTGACCCTGTGGGGGCTATACCCAGTTTGGGGGCAGTGTGATGGTAGGACACAGAGTGGAAGGACTCAGGATGTGGTTAATGGCCTAGTGTTTCCGTGAAGTGCTTTTTTTCCTCTCTGCAGTCACTCCTGGCCAGAGCTGGTTCCCACAGCCCCCCCCCCCTCTTTCTAAATGCTTAGGTGGCGCTCAGGTGTCCAATGGTGTAATGCCAGTATGCATTCCCCTCTCTCTGTAGCTCTTGTTTTCTAGCTAGACTCACCTGTCACACTGCACAGTTAGTGTGCTTGTGCTCTTACGTTTTAGATAGGTTTAAAAAATATAGAAAAAGGTCAGGCACTTGTGACTCATGTCTGTAATCCTAGCAACTCAGGAGGCTGAGATCTGGGGATCATGATTCAAAGACTGCCCAGGCAAAAAAGCCCATGAGACGTTTTTTTTCTTTTAGCCAATCCTGGGGCTTGAACTCAGGGCCTGAGCTCTGTCTCTGAGCTTAGCTCAGAGCTAGTGCTCTACCACTTGAGCCACAGCCCCACTTGTGGTCTTTTCTGTGTATGTGGTACTGAGGAATTGAACCCAGGGCTTCATACCTGCTAGGCAAGTACTCTACTACTAAGCCATAATCCCAGCCCTCCATGAGACTCTTATCTCCAATAACTCAGCAGAAAACCAGAAGTGGTACTGCTGTGACTCAAAAGAGGTAGAGTACTAGCTTTGAGTGAAAAGCTCAGAGACAGTGCCCAGGCCCTGAGTTCAAGCCCCATGAGTGACAAAGTACAGGACAGAATACCAAAAGTCGAACACCTACTAGGATAAAAGATAATTCTAACCGGTTTTAAGTCTTTTGTTTTAAATAAAACATTTACTGGCAGACTGTTTTCCCCTCTCCCTCCCCCCCATTGTTATCCCCCTCTGTGGCCCCTGTTATGACCATCCGTCTGCTTGTCTGGGCCTGTGTCTGTGAGCAAGACAGAGTATTGTTTTGTTTTTACACTTTTCCTAAGTGGTATCATGATGTGTACCATTCTGCAACTTATTCATCATTGCTATCTGTCCCAACAACTCTAGATCGGTAGGATCGGGTTTATTCCTTTGGAAAACACCTCAGTGTTGGTGTGAACCAGCCAGGTGCCCTTAATGCTAGAGGTGCAGGCCCTTGGCACCATTATGTTGCTGTTTCTCCTGTGTGGATGCAGGGAGCTGGCGAGTTTGCTCCTGGATCAGGCTGCTTTCACAAACCTTCCAGAAGGTTCTGATGGGTATTGACATTGACTGCTACTGTCTTAGGGTTGTCTATGTTGAACTTGTCACTTTTTTTTCTTTTGAAACATTAGGAGAACATTCCCCATGTGCTTTGTGACCTTCTGTCTTTCATCCCTTTAATTAACTCACTTCCCTCCCTGCGTTCATTGTGCTGACTGCTTGGTGGTCCACCTCTGAGGTTGGGCTTGCTTTTCCTTGTCTCCCTTCCAGGCATTTCAATTGGGCCCCACGGAAGCCTCTTACTACTGGGTGTACTGGGTTCCAACTCAATATGTGGATGCAATCAAGGACACTGTGCTGGGAAAATGGCAGTATTTTTGAAAGCACTTTCACCTCTGGCCCAGGAGACTGACCCAAAGTGAAGGACATTGCCGGGAGAGGCCTGCAGCACCCCTGGATTTCCGAGTTCTGGAACTTTGTTCACAAAACTCATCTGTTCAATCTGAGGCGATGTGCTGACTGAAGCCAGAGGTGATGTACTTTCACCATAGCTTAATTTTAACTTAAAATCACCGGTTCCTTTTCTTGCAGTCAGCTTCAGACCATTTTTAAAGTCCATATGGTGGAAATCAATAAATCTGAATTCCGAACATGTGGTGTGGAACACTTTTAAGTCTGTGTGAGAGTAGATCTGCCATTGTTGCTGAGAAGGGAATGATAAAAAGCTTTTCTGGTTTCATTGTTGTTGGTTTTTGGTGTTTTTTTTTTTTTTTTAGTTTTTAAAGTGATTTCAAATGAAATATTTTCATAAACCTTGGTTTTGAAAACATTTGGACTGCTTTTTGATGAGTTGGGGGTGTATTTTGTTTTTGTCTTTTTTCTTAGTATAAAATTGTATGTAAAATGGGGGGGGAGTGTTAGTAAGCCATACTTTGCTGTCCATTCTGATTTTTTTTTTTTAATTTCAATTCAATTGCCTAGATTTGAGATTTCGTTAACCCAAAGATGTCTGTTCCTCTTTCGGTACCTCATCCACACTTCCTTTCTGAGCTCCCCGCACCATGCTGCTGCCTGGGGGTGCTTGAGGGAGAGGACTTGGGGGGCCTGGGTCAGGAGCTCTCACCTTGCTGTAGTGGTAGTGAGCTATGCTGTCTCCATGTCTTGCCCTTTGGGCTTCCAGGGGGTGCCCAGCCTGGCGCCAGCAGGCATGGACCAGGCTGCTCCAGCTCAAGGCAGCGCCCCATGGAAGGAAGTTCCTAGGGCCAGGTTAGGTTTGCAGACCTTCATTTGGAAGTGCCCCCCAGAAACCTGCAAGCAGTCCAGTGATGATTTCAGTTAGACTTCTCCATTCCGTCCTTCAGCTCATGCGTTAAGTTCAAGTGCCCTTTATCCCAGCCTCCGAGGCTGCCTTTCCCACTAAGTCTTGTGACCCAGTGCGTGGGCCCAGTGGTGTTGGAACCTGGAAGTGGGATAATTTAATTGCCCTCTCATGATCAGCTCACCCTCTTCCGGTTTCAGTCCTTTCTTTGTACACGTGCACTTGTATTGTCTCCTGATGGCTTGACTGAAAGGCGGGGTGTCTTTTGGGTGATCCCCTTTGTGCCGTGCTGTTTCTCTGCTGCTGTCTTTGCAATTCTCCTCTCACTGGTCTCAGCCTCCCACTTGAGCCTGTCCCTTCATTCTGTGAACTGTATTTGCATGTGTTCGCCTAAGATGACTTGCCCTTGTGAGCCAGCTGTGACGCTCTTCTAGTCCTTTCCCTACCCTTCTAAGCTGTAGTTCAGGAATCCTGCCCACTTGCTTTTCGTGGTGTACTCAATGCCAAGTTTTGTCTCTGGCAAGGGAAATCTACTCTCTACTGTTTTGGGGATGTAACTACGTATGTGAAGCTCAATGTCCAGGAAACAACCTGGTTTTCATCCTTTGCTGGAGCTTTTGTGTGTGGCCTGGCCTGACGCCGGATTGTGTGTCTCATTCTTACATCCGCATCCTCTCCAGGCTACATGCCCGCCCCAGAGGGCAGCAGGCAGAGCATCATCTTGCTTTGCCCTTTTCATTTGTCCTCAAGACTTGTGTGACGGTGCAACGATCCCATTGCTTTGGTCTCATCAGGGGCATCTTTATGCCCAGATTGGCTCTGAGACCCCTCCTTCCACGTGTCTGCCTGCCTGCCTTCATCTCCTTGCTGCCCAAGGGCCTGACCGCTTCTCACTCAGGCTGGTGCCAATATCAAGAGGACCAAAGCCTGTGTGAGCCTTTTTCTTTTCAGTAAAAATGGTGCTTTTATTCCTTACTTGGAGATTCTCTATATAAATAAAAGTATACACAACGGCTTTTTTTTTGTTTTGTTTTCTTGTACGGAGCTGTTTTTCAGTGTTGCTTTGCAGAGCTTGTGGGTCGTGAGTTGACATTGGATTGTCAGCTCAGAAGGCCTTGGGAAAGCTCCCAGAGGGCATGGGCAGCCCTTGGAAGCCGGTGTCACTCTTGTCACTGTCGCAGTATTCACTGATGGTCACTCCCTCCCATGGGCAGTGTGTTTCCTCCTCTGGACTAGCCTGTCCCATTTGTGAGCAGGCACAAGTGCTCAGCTTGAGCTGCATCAGTGTTCGTGTCCTTTAGGGTTCCATCCCTGGTGGTGAGCTGTCCTTCCTGGAGGCTGACCGCCTTCCCTACCACCTTGAATTGGTACTGGTGCTCTCCCGCACTCCTTCCCTCCCAGACATCACCTTTCTGGGGCCACCATGCCTGACTCTTGTGAGCCAACCAGAGCACTTAGATTCTGGAGTGACTCCAGCTCTGGGGTGAAGTACTGTAGTGAGCTTTCTGTGGGTAGCATCTGTTCTTTTTGAATTGGCCAGGATGGCCCAGGGAGGCCCTTAGTAGCCACTTCTCTTAGGAGGGCTGGAAGGATGAACTGCCACATTGCCATGTCACCGAAGCACCACAGTTCACCCAGAAGGGACTTGTTTTCTTCTTTAACCACGTGCCTGAAGGAGCACTCGGGGACTCCTTGCAAGAGGCCTGCCCTCTCCCTACCAGGGGCTGAGAAGAGGGGGTGATTGCACGTACCAAGGGCAGGCTTGTTTCCCACCATTTGCTGAGGGCACCTCTTGCTCCTTGGCCTCTGTAAAATACCTGTTGGCTTAGAAGAGGATGGTCCCTTTGTCTTGTCACCTCCCATTAGGCAGGCGCAGCCTGTGTCGTCTTCTCCTCCTCCTCATGCTGCTCCTCGGGCCTGGCTGCCTTGCTGAGGTGCCAGGGGTGAATGAGGAGCTCCTGGTACATGGACCTGCCAGGCTTGGTGGTTCTACTGCTATCTCAGTGTCTAGCAGCCTTCCTTATCTTTCTTAAAGAGTTCTGCAGTTATTTGACAAAAATCTGTAAGTACCATGTTTCCTTGTGGTGTGTGCTCTGTTCTGGTTCGGTTTTAAATCAAATGCCTGTTCAGGAGGAGATGAACGTATTTAGTCTATTAGATTTACGCTGCTGGATTTTTTTTTAAAGTGTATAACCTTGAGTAGCTGTCTTATTGTTTATCCTGTAAGATTAGTCTCTTGATTAAAGTTTGATAATTAATGTGTCTCCTTTCCAATTCTTCATGCGCCTACTCCATACTGAGGACTGACCATGGTTTGAACTGGGCTGAAAGCCATTCTTTGCCAGCTGTGGTCTTAGTTCCTTGATTTTGAGTGTATCCAGGTTAATAGTTGGTAAAGATACTGATTTGGTTTGTTCTAGAGTAGTCACAGGCACCAATGAGCTGGTGAACCATTCTACTGGGGCAGCCTTCCTTGGTCTGCTTAGCTTCCATGCATGTTAGGGGGAGCTGCTCACCACCTGGGGGGTGTCCTGTGACCCCACTGACAATTTGGCTTTTGAGAACACGTTTAAAACACTTTGAGGCCTGGTGCTGGTAGTTTACTTGTATATTTGTAGCTGCTCAGGACTGAGACCAGCCCAGGCAGAAAAGTTTTTAGGGCTCCCATCTCCAGCTAACTAGCAATGCCAAGACTAGAGAGGTGGCTCAAGTGGTTAGCGCACCAGCCACGAGCAAGAAAGCTGCATGAGGCCCTGAGTTCAAGCCTTGGTATTAGGAACAAACATAAAACCCAATATTGTGAACAACCTGGATGTGGTTGGTATATACTTGTAATCCTAACTACTCCAGTGATGGAGTCAGAGTCCAAGACTAGTTTGGCAGTCACAAAATGGCTCAAGTAGTAGAGCTCTTAACTAACATGGCTCAAGTAGTAGAGCTCTTGACTAACACAGGCCCTTGGTTCAGACATGAGTGTATTGTAAAAGACAAATAACAAAAACGGAGCTGGATGCTGTTGTGACTCACCCCTGTAATCCTTGCTTCTAAGGAGGCTGAGATCTGAGGATCGTGGTTTGAAACCAGCCCAGAAAATTCCAAGACTCTTATTAACCACCAAAAAGCCAGAAGTGGGAAGGAAAGTTTTTTTCCTTAAAAAAGCCAGAATTGGAGTCTGGGTTCAAGTAGTAGAGTGTTAGCCTTGAGCAGAAAAAGCTCAGAGACAGAGCCCAGGCCTTGAGTTCAAGCCCAGGACTGGCACCAAAAAACACAGGTGAGCTAGGTGGGCATAGTAGTATAAACCTGTAGCTCCAGCACTCAGAAGGCATAGCAGCAGGAGGATCATGAGTTCAGGGTAAGACTGACTCACGGAACCCCCCCCCCAACCCCCCCTTGGGAGTGACATGTCAGTGCATGGCATGGAGCACCCTCAAGAGGGCTACTCTGGGCTTTGGGGGTCCTCTCACAAAGACTTGCTTTTGCTCCTTTTTGTAGGCCATTAGAAACAATATTGCTCTGATCCACACACTTCAGAATGCTGCATTTGGCCGGTTCACTGCTTACCTATAGTGGTAGTTTGTAATTTCTCACATTCCTGCAAGTTTTTAGAGCAGAAACGCCAGTGCTTCTGTTGGAACACCTAGACTCTACAATGGATTCTCTGGCCAAGCCAGTGAAATGTTCCTCATTCTTCCCTTGGGACTTGTGACAGTGACATGAATGGGCCACGTCACTATAGGTACCTGGTTGAGATCAGCCCACAAGGGTTTAAGCTCTACCTCATGCTGCAAAAGCTGGCACTTTCCTAAGGTAATAAAGGGGGAGGGGGCACAACAGCCACCAAACACACTGTAGTGTAACAGCAGCTGTTTTGTGTGGAGCAAGGAATGTATACGTCAATGTTCTTGAGTAACTAGTGACAGAGAAACAGGCCCGAGGGGGGCCTCAAACTGGAGGCTTCTTGCCTCAGTGCTCCTCCCACCCTGCCACTACCAGAAGGCTGGCAGTTCAGTACTTGCACCTTGACTTATTACTATTTCTTGCCCCTCCCCCTTATAAACTAGAAATTCTAATGAGTAATTATGACATCACTAAATCTCACAACATCTAGGCAATACACACACATTATATACATTGACTTCAAGAAACACAGCAGTAATGAAAGGAGCAGTTGGGGGTGGTGTCCTAGCACCCAGGAGGCTAAGGCAGGAGGTTAGAGTTCAAGGGCAGCTGGGCTACATAGAATGAATGCAGCAGAGCTGGAGCTCACCAACATACAAAAAGGAAAGCAGTGCAAACTGACCACATCCCATTGTCTAAAACCTAAACTCTTATAATTCAGAAGAGGGCATTAGGTAATAGAAACAGTCCTACATGCTAGTATCAACCCGTAATACCCAAAAGTAAGTTTTTTCAAGCCCTCTCTTTATTTTTATTTATTGTTTCTGTCGGTTGTGGGGCCTGAACTCTGGGCCTAGGTGCTGTCCCCCAGTTCTTCAGCTGTAGACCAGCGTTCTACACTTGAGCCTCAGCCCCCACTTCTGGCTTTTCCTGCTTATGTGGTGTTGAGGAATTGAACCGAGGGCCTCACAAGGCAAGCACTCTACCACTGAGCCACCTTCCCAGCTTCTAGTCCTCTCTTTATGAAAACACATTTTAAAAATATAATTATTGTTACTATTAATATGTTGTACAGAGGGATTACTATTTCATAAGTCAGGTAATGAGTACATTTAACACATTCTTTTTTCAAGTACACTACTGAAGACGCTTTTTTCCCCCCACAGTGCAGGGGCTTGAACTCAGAACCTCCTGCTTGCTTTGCTGGAGCCATGCCTACATCCCTTCTTTTTGCTGGTTAATTGGAAGTGGTATTTCAAGAATTTTATGCTGACTGGCTTTGAGCCTCAGTCCTTCAAATTTCATCCTCTTGAGAATTAAAAGCTTCCCAGCATGTTTTCTTTCTTTTGAGACTTATCTCACTATATATCTCAGGTTAATCTTGAATGAACTCTGACTCCTACCTCTGCCCTGCCCTAAATGTCATGTGTGGGTGTTTTTTTTTTTTTTTTTTTTGTCATGGGGATTGAATTCAGGGCCTGGGCTCTGTCCCTAAGCTCTTTTACTCAGGCTGAGTGCTGTATCACTGTGAGCTACAGCTTCACTTCTGGTTTTTTGGGTAGTTAATTGGAGATAATCTCACAAATTTTTCCTGCCTGGGCTGGCTTTGAATCGCAATCCTCAGATCTCAGACTCCTGAGTAGCTAGGATTACAGGGGTGAGTCACCAGCACCTAGCTTGTGTGTGTGTGTGTGTGTTTTGGGGGTTGTGGGTCGGGTCTTGAACTCTGGACCTGGGTGCTGTCTCTGAGCTCTGCAGTTCAAGGCTAGTGCTCTACCACTTTAGCCACAGTGCCACTTCTGGTTTTCTAGTGGTTAATTGGAGATAAGAGTCTCATGGACATTTCTGCCCAGGCTGGCTCTGAACCACGATCATCATTAGATCTCAGCTTCCTGAGGAGCTAGGATTACAAGGCATGAGCTGCCGGCAACTGACTTTCTCTTTTTTTTTGTTTTTTTGTTTGTTTTTTTTTGCGGGGGGAGTCCGGTCGTGGGGCCTGAACTCTGGGCCTGGGCGCTGTCCCTCAGCTCTTCAGCTCAAGGCTAGTGCTCTACCACTTGAGCCACAGCGCCACTTCTGGCTTTTTTCTTTTTGCTTATGTGGTGCTGAGGAATCGAATCCAGGGCCTCATGCATGCAAGGCAAGCGCTCTACCACTGAGCCACCTTCCCAGCCCCCCTGTATTTTTGATATACATGATTAGTGATTATAAATCAGATAAACCTTTAAAAAATATTAAGCAATGTCATATAAAGGCATTTCATTAGACATTATTGGAAAAAAATAAAGATTGAGAAGTGTTGGTTTCATAGATTTATTTTCAAAGGCAAAACACTTAGACAATTTAAATAGAAGTCCAACAGAGAGGCTGTGCCACCACTGCCGCTGAGGCGCCTTCTCCCCTCGACCCTCTCTGGTATCATCTGAGTCCTCTCTGCGAGGAAAGGGTTCTGGCAAGGGCAAAGTAAGATCATGTTCTTTCTGTGTGTATCACAAACACTGGGACCAAGCTAACATTGGCCACTTTCAGTGCACTGCTATATTCAGCGCTGCACAGACACTACTCAAATGTTACCCCTAGTCAGGGCCTGTCCCTGCCCCCGATGAAATGTCACCATGCTGAGGACAACCTGGAAGCTGTGACTGAGAAGCTGCTCTGTCCCCTCCCCTCCTGCACAGCAGGCGGCTTGCCTTGTGGGGGCTCAGGAAGGCCGCATTAGGAAGGGCTGGTAACCAAGGGAGTCCTGTCAGAGGAAGACTACTCACTCAAGAATGAAGACTATAGCCTGCTTGCAGTGGCAGACTATGGCAGTGTCCAGGATTAAGGCGTGGGCACCATGCCCAGCTCGGCTTTCATTTTAAAACCAATGAACAATCTGTCAAGTAGTTCCATCCCTTTCTTCTTGAGTCTTTGCTTTGAAGAACTACAGACAAATTAATGTCCTAGGTGAGATTATTTACCTGGTGGTTTATTCATAGACATCCTTCTTGTCTGCAATGTAATCTACAATTTCTTGTGGACACATCAACTTCTCTGCATCTGTATCAGGAATTTCAAATCCTAAAATGGAGAGAGTTGACAACAATGTGTGGGTACAGAAATAATGCTTCAGAAGTGAAAGCATCCCACACTTCCCCCAAACCCACAACTCTCAAAATTGTCCAGCCACCCTGAATTGCACTTTGGCTGTAAGCACAGAACTTCTGAGTGGTACTTAACACCACGCTGGGTACACTGCTGGTTGTTTCACATACAGTGAGCAGAGCAAAAAATTCTCGTTTTTTTGTGCCGGTCCTGGGCATGAATTTAAGGCCTAGGCACTGTCCTTGAGTTCAAGGCTAGTGCTCTACTACTTGGCCACAGCTCCACTTCATGGCTATTTTTTAATTTTTTTTTTCCTTTTTGCCTATTGAAGATAATCTCATGGACTTTATTGCCAAGGCTGGCTTCAAATCTTGATCCTCTGATCTCAACCTGAGTAGCTAGGATTACAGATGTGAGCCACTGATGCCAACTGAAAACTTTCTTATTTTCATCAACCCTAAAACAACCTAGAACTTCTCAGCAGTCCCCTCCTGTGCCACCCCCACCCCCTCCCTCCTGTCACGCCTGCTTTTTGTGGACGTTTCCTATGAAGAGCTAAGCCAGTACTCCCTTTGCTCAGCACACTCTGGTGGCTCATTGCATGTGTACCATGTGTACCGGGTTACCATGTGAACTGGACATCATGCCTTTCTCCGGGGGCCAGGCAGCCACTCCCCTCCTGCTGAGTGCTTGCCCAGACCCTGCCCAGTGTTTATACACAGCCTCTCCTCAGCACTCAGTCCTGAGCTCAGTGCTGCTGCCAGGTCAGTTCACAGCAAGGAATGGGACTGGCCCTCAGAACCATTAGGCAGTGACTGCAGAGTACAGGACCTGAGCCCTGTCCTCTGCAAGGGTGCACTGGCACAAATGAGCAGTATGTGCAGGGCACACAAGGGCCAAGCAGAGGCACACTGGGACTGCTGCCAAGCGTGGCGTCACCACAGCTCAACTTCTGCCCCTTCCTTCTGGGACCCCTCAGTGCCATCCTGGGCCCTCTGCTGGCCAGGTCCCCAGCATGGACTTTGTCGGATGGTACGAGGTAAGAGACACTGTTTCTATTAAAATTTGATTCCAATTCGGACTTCCAACATTTCTTTCCACTATTATACCTAAATGATAACTGTACTATGCATAGCACACGTTACCAAATTCATCTTCCATGGCCATGATAATCTCCACTTGGTCCAGACTGTCCAAGCCCAGGTCTTTCATGAAGTGGGAATTTACTGAGAGCTGCAAGAAAGGAAACCATAGGTAGGATGGCAGTCCATTCTAGCCAGGGAAAAACCCCAAGACTAGCTGAAAAATAACTAAATAAAAAAAGACTGAGGGTGTGGCTTAAGTGGTACAATGCCTGCCCTGCAAGCCTAGGTAGGATACAGAGTTCAAACCCCAGTACTGAAGGGGGGGGAAGGGGAAATTGGCACTCAAGAGGGGGCGAGATAGCCAGGCGCTGGTGGCTCACACCTGTAATCCTAGCTACTCAGGAGGCTGAGATCTGAGGATCATGGTTCAAAACCAGCCTGGGCAGGAAAGCTGGTGAGACTCTTATCTCCAATAAACCACTAAAAAACCAGAAGTGGTGTTGTGGCTCAAGCAGTAGTGCTCACCTTGAGCTGAAGAGCGCAAGGACAGCACCCAAGCCCAGAATTCAAGCCCCACGACCGACCAAAACAAGAAACAAAAAAGCAACAACAAAAAAAGAGGAGGTGAGATTATGAGCTTGAAGCCAACCTGGCGTAGAGATCAAGACATGTCTCAAAAAAAGGGAGCAAGGTAGGGCTGGTGATAAAAGGCCCTCGCTTTTACCTCAGCGACTAAAAGAAAGAAAGAAAAATCCCCCCATTTAAAAAAGCAAGAAGGGACAGGAAAGTGTTCATGGTATATTACATCTGATGACTTGTGGGTTGGGCTGGTGCTGGGGATTGAATCCAGGGCCTCTGCCTACTACGTGACCCCATCCAGCCCACTTGTATTTTTCAAAAGCAGATGTGTGCAGTGCATGCAGCCGGACCTAAGCACCCATCTGACACATCCCAATGCAGTACCCAACTCCTCTCATGAAGCCTGTGATTAGAGCTGGGGTAGGAATGGGGGTTGTCAACAACACACTTACCTTTTCCGGGTCGATTTTGTCATACAGCTTCAAGACATACAGTACGCGGTCCCTGATGCCCTCTAGTGTCAGGGGTGGCAAGTCACTGTAGGAGCGGCCCCACCTCAGCACAGGCCCTGGCACCTACAAGAAGACGGGGGAAAGTCAGCAAACCTCTGTGCCACACATACATAGACAAAGGTGGCTCACAGGTGGGCTTTCTCTAGTCCTGGGTGGCCTCAGAACCCCAGCAGTTCTCAGCAGGTTGGCCTGGGGCTATGGGAGATCAGCAAAAAGGAGAGTCTGGTCTCTCTGCCCAAAGCCCGGCCTGGCCCTGGCTCCTCGCCTCCACTAGCATCCACAGGCCATTCCCGCTTTTACTGGTCAAAATAACCCGCAGAGAGTCACCATCGGCCTAGAAAGGCAGTTCCCACCCAGGGCCTAGCACTGGAAAGGTCAAATTTGGCTCATGAAGTTAATTACAGGACCCTGTGATTAACTCATAGAAAGTGGGTTTGCTTGTAGGGGCATAAGTCTTTAGGACTCTCACAACACTGAAAAATACTAATAAAAATGAAGCTGAGAGCTACTATCTACTACTAGCTACCTAGCTACTCAGGAGGAAGAGATCTGAGGATCTTATTTTGAAGCCAGCCCAAGCAGGAAAATCTGGGAGACTATCTCCAATTAACTGGAGATTACCTTCAATTAAGCACCAAGAAGACAGAAATGTAGTTGTAGCTCAAGTGATGGAGTGCTAGCCTTCAGCACAAAAGCTCTAGGACAGTGCCCAGATCCTGAGTTCAAGCCCCAGGACTGGCACAAAAAAGGAAAAGATAATGAAGCTAAGGACTATGGATATGGTTCAAGGGGTGGCGTGCCAGCTGAGAGCAATGAGAGAGAGCATGAGGCACTGAGTTTATGCTATAGCACCAGGAGGGAAAAAATAAAGCCAAACCAACATACACATTTGCAACGAGGAATGCTTACTCTTGTATAAAAGCCAGGCATTGAAATCACATCTAATCAGCAAATTAAGGCAAATAGCCTGGCATGAGACTGCCCGCACTTGGGAGTCTGAGGTAGGAGGACACGAGGATGTAGTTTCCTTTTCCCTGAAAACAAGTTTAGTTGAAGCATTTCAGGTGTTATTCCAGAGTATTCCTGGGTACTTCCGAGGTAGCAGAGCCGTTTCCTTGTGTTCCCTTCCCCTGGGTAGAAGGTGTTTCCAAGTCACAGTTCAAATATTGCAGAAAGGAACAAAGACAGGAGGGGGATGTGTGAAGTAAGAGATCTAACAGAGGCATGTGTGCATGAAAAATAAGATTAAAAATCACAAACGACGGTATGCCATGAAGAGGGGAGGCTTCAAGTGTACCGAGATGCAGGTGGCTGCAGTACCTACACTAGCCACTAGGTGTCAGCACTGCGTTCAGCAGCTCTGGCCAGGTGAGTGGCAGGGCAGCATGAGGCCCTAAAGTGTACCCAGTAAGAGGCTACACTCAGGAAGTAGGCTGCTGCTGCGGACACCTCCATACGGGCTCTCATGAGCTGCATGGCCTTGAGCAAGTTCATCTTGAGGTTGTGGGAGAATTTTTTTTTTTTACTAGTCCTGGGGCTTGAACTCAGGGCTTGGGCTCTGTCCCTAAGCCTCTCTGTGCTCTACCACTTGAGCCACAGCACCACTTCTGGCATTTTCTGTTTATGTGATACCGGGGAATCAAACCCAGGGCTTCATGCATGCCAGGCAAGCGCTCTACTACTAAGCCATATTCCCAGCTCATCCTGGGGCTCTTTTTTTGGCAGGGGGGGAGAGGGTCAGTTGTGGAGCGTGAACTCTGCGCCTAGGCACTGTCCCTCAGCTCTTCAGCTCAAGGCTAGTGCTCTACCACTTGAGCCACAGCCACTTCTGGTTTTCTGGTGGTTAACTGGAGATAAGAATCTCATGGACTTTCCTGCCCGGGCTGGTTTTAAACCTCCATCCTCAGATTTCAGCCTCCTGAGAAGCTAGGACTTCAGGCGTGAGCTGAAGTGTGCTGGCACCTGGCTTCCTGGGGCTTTTAACTCCAGGCCTGGATGCTGTCCCTGAGCTTTTGTGCTCAAGGATAGTGCTCTACCACTTGAGCCAAAGTTCCACTTCTGGCCTTTTCTGTGATTAGAGATGAGAGTCTCATGGATTTCCTGCCTGGGCTGGCTTCAAATCGTGATCCTCATATCTCAGCCTCCTGAGTAACTAGAATTACAGGTATGAGTCACCAGCGCCTGGCTTGTTGGAGGCTTTGAACAGACCAGGAACTATCTCTCCCACTTCCTTTTCTTGTGAAGCCATGTTGGGTGGAACACAGGGCCTTGGGAAAGTGCTCTACTATTGAGCTACATCCCAGGCATTTTTGGCATTTTGCTTTGAGACAGGGTATCAAACTCTGTCCTCTTGCCTCAGCCACCTGAGTGCTGAGATTGTGCACGTGTGCCCCCACACCTGGCTGTTTCTTTCTTATCTGTTTGTGGCAGTATTGGGTTTGAGCCTGCTAGGCAGGTGTTCTTCCACTTTAGCCATGACCTTCAGCCCTTTCTGCTTTATTTTTGAGTGAGGTCTCATGCTTTTGCCTGGGACAGCCTGGCCTCTGGTGTAGCTGCGATCATAGATGCACACACCATGCTGAACTTATTAACTGAGCTTATTAACTTGCAAACTTTCTGTGTAGGCTGACCTTAAACCTTGACCCTCTTAATTACAGGCATGAGCCACTAAATCCATCCCTATTTACAAATTTTAAGGTACTAGGGATTGTACCAAGGGTTTCAAACATGTAATCTACCACTGAACAACAACCACCATCCCAATCCCTTTCTGAATTTTGAGACAGTCTTGCCAAGTTACCCATGTTAGACGTGAACTTGTGATCCTTCAGCTTCAGCCTTCCAAGTAACTGAGATTAGAGAAGTATGCTATCATACCCAGCTGTCTCTTAATTTCTTACCATTAATAAGCCCTAAGTTCATATCATCTCCTTCAGCTGTCCCAGTAACTCTGAGATGTGTGGTACTATCACCTTTCTTTTACAGATAAAGAAACTGAAGCAGAGAATGGTCTCCAGGCTACTATGACCTCTTAGAAGATCTCACTGCCCTTCTGCCATATGTCAGCTGTCAAGATAATGAATGACAAGCAAGCACCTCCTCAAGAGCCAACATATAACTGTATGTGACGAGAATCACCTGGCCAGGCCTCTGAGGAGGCGGTGTTAAAAGTGCCTCCTCTCCGCTAGTGATTAGACTCTCCCAGAATCCACCTTACTCCACTGGGGAGCTTCACTGCAAGGGAGAGCCAGAAGCAGTTACAGAGCAGCTCAGAAGGCTTTCCCTACCACCTACCCCAACATCTCATACCCCATCCCCACACTCGTACCTCTCACTCAAGCTGCATGCATTGACTCCCTCTTCTGCTAGCCAGGAACCACAGGGCCAGCCCATCCCCATCACACCCTCTCAGCCATGTCCACTTGCTCACCTCTCCCAGCTGACTGGGAGGACTGGTCTTAGTTACACCTTCAACAAGCCTTGCTCAATGCTCACTTCTTGTGATGCCGACAGAGCAACAGAACTCTCTCTTGATACCTCTGAAAGAACTTAGTCAAAACCATTAGGAAACTAAAATGATGGCTCTCTGCTGCAGATGTAAACCAGGCACTGGGCTCTTCAAAGCAGGGCCAAGGCCACCAGGGCAGGACCATCTGGGAGTGCATGGGAAACGATAGCTTTCTGGCTCCTTGCCAGACCTAGAGTCAGAATCCGCATTGGAACGGCAGGGAAGTGCACACACAGGGAGGCTTGCAAATCAATGCTGAAGGAACAGGGAAAATCACTTCACATCTTAACTGAATGTGAAAATCAGTCTCAAGACTCAAGCAGAGCCAGACGCTGGTGGCTCACACCTGAAATCCTAGCTACTCAGGAGGCTGAGATGTGAGGATCTCAGTTCAAAGCCAGCCAGGGCAGGAAAGTCGTGAGACTCTTATCTACAATTAACCACCAGAAAACCAGAAGTGGTGCTGTGGCTCAAGTGGTAGAGTGCTCTCCTTGAACTGAAGAACTCAGGGACAGCACCCAGACCTAGAGTTCAAGCCCCATGACTCCCCCCCCCGAAAAAAAAATAAATAAAAAGAATCAAGCAGAAAGCTCTACCACCTATTTTTTCCCCTCTTGTATTGGCTTGAACTCAGGGCCTCTCATTCTAGAGTGGCTTTTTAACTTAAATCTACCACTTGAGCCACATCCCCCCTCCCTTCCAACTTGTTCCTATTTAATTGGAGATGGAAGATTCTCTGATTTGTCTGCCTGGGCTGGCTTCAAACCATGCTCCTCGGATCTCAGCCTCTTGTGAACCAGCAGAGCCTGGTTCCCATTGCTCCTCTCAACATCTAACATTAGGGTATTCACCTCTGACTGGCCATGTCCTACAAATGAATGCTAAGACTATCAGCGAGTCACCATCTGTCTGCATAAAAACAATGACTTGATTCTAACCGCCTTGGCCTGGCATACTTTTTTTTTTTTGGGGTCCGGTCGTGGGGCCTGAACGCTGGGCCTGGGCGCTGTCCCGCAGCTCTTCAGCTCAAGGCGAGCGCTCTACCACTAGAGCTACAGCTGTACTCCCGCTTTTCTGGTGGTTAATTGGAGATAAGAGTCTAAAGGTCTGGAATGGAACCTTGATCCTCAGATCTCAGTCTCCTGAGCAGCTAGGATTACAGGCGTCAGCCACCGGTGCCCGGCTGGCTCCAAAGTTTTTATGCAGTGATTCTTCCACATATATTCACTATTGAATAGGTTGAAGACGCAGTACACAACATGAAACAGACCTTCCATAGATATTAGCATTTAACAGGTTGACACACACACATATATATGAATGCACTCACTATATCTCTCTCTATGAATGACATGGTGTTTCCTTGTGCAGCTAAAGCAGGATTCGTGAGCCCAGGAGTTCCAGGCCAGCCTGGATGTTACAAGACCTTCTGCAAAAATAATGAATTAGTAGCGGCTCACACCTGCTACTCAGGAGGCTGAGATCTGAGGATCGCAGTTCAAAGCCAGCCTGGGCAGGTAAATCTGTGACAGGAGTTTGAACTTACAGCCTTGAGATTGCTATGTAAATGTATTCTTCTTTTTGTCGATCGTGGGGCTTGAACTCTAGGCTTGGGCACTGTCCCTTCACTCTTCAGCTCAAGGTTAGCACTCTACCACTTGAGCTACAGCACCACTTCTGGTTTTCTGGTGGTTTATTGGAGATAAGAGTCTCACGGACTTTCCTGCCTGGGCTGGCTTTGAACCATGATCCTCAGATCTCAGCCTCCTGAGTAGGTAGGATTACAGGCGTGAGCCACCAGCACCCGGGGCTTAGTGGGCCTCTTATCTCCAATAAACCACTAGAAAACTGGAAGTGGTGCTGTGGCTCAAGTGGTAGAGTGCTTGCCTTGAGCTGAAGAGTTCAGGGATAGTGCCCAGGCCCAGAGTTCAAACCCCATAACCAGGGTAGGGGGGAAAAAAGGATGAGCTTTGTGGATTGCAGTTCAAAACCAGCCTAGGAAGGAAAGTCCAGGATTCTTTTTTTTTTTTTTTGTCGGTCGTGGGGCTTGAACTCTGGGCCTGGGCGCTGTCCCTCAGCTCTTCAGCTCAAGGCGAGTGCTCTACCACTTGAGCTACAGCGCCACTTCTGGTTTTCTTGTGGTTTATTGGAGATAGGAGTCTCACGGTTTCTCCTGCCCGGGCTGGCTTTGAACCGCAATCCTCAGATCTCAGCCTCCTGAGTAGATAGGATTACAGGCGTGAGCCACCAGTGCCCGGAGAGTCCAGGATTCTTATCTCCAATTAACCACCAGAAAACCAAAAGTAGTGCTGTAGCTCAAAGCACTAGAGCATTATTAGCCTTGAGTAAAACGAGTTCAGGAACAGCGCCCAGGCTGAGTTCAAGCCCAATGTCAAAAAAAAAAAAAAAAAAAAAAAAGCCGAGCATATAAATACTAGTAATTTGGGCTAAAATTCTAAGCACTATCAACCAAATCAATACATTGAAAATTTCTGTCTCGTGGGACCTGGTGCCCTTGTGTGCAATCCCAGCACTCAGAGGACTGTGTTTTCAAGGGCAGCTTGGGCCATGTTGTAAACTGTAGTGTCACCAATGGTAAGTTAATGGGATAAAGGTCACATGGGAGCGAGCATGAGGAAGAGCAACACCATTTCTAAATCAGGGCACTCATTCAGTACACATAAAAATAAAATATTAGGGCTGGGAATGTACCTCAGTGGTAGAGTGCTTGCCTAGCATGCATGAAGCCCTGGGTTTGATTCCTCAGTACCACATAAACAGAAAAAGGCGAAAGTGGTGTTCTGGCTCAAGTGGTAGAGTGCTAGCCTTGAGAAAAAGAAGCTCAGGGACAGTGCTCAGGCCCTGATTTCAAGCCCTAGGACTAGAAAAAAAAAATACAATAATACAAAAATAACACAGCCAATACAGAATAATAAATAATAATCCAAGAGGCATACTGCACTGTAGTTAATCCACATCAAGTGAATTACTCTTCTAGCAAGCATGGCTGACTAAATACTGGGTGCAGACTTATTTAGGTCCTGGTTTGGAAAATGCTCTCAATACAATGACAAAAAATATGTCAAGCAGAATGTATGAAAATAAATATTTATTGCCATTTGAAGTTTTCTGTACACCTTTAAAAGTAAATGTGCAAATGTGGCTATCACCAAAGTGCCCCAGATCCTTTACCTCAGGGTAACATGAACCAGCAGTGCCACCACCATCACAGCAAACATCCCAAGTCATCCCTTTACATGTCACTTGGGAGTTCTCCCAATTTCCACCCAAAAGTGCTGGGAGATCAAATACACCCAGAAAAAGTGTTTTCCTTTTAACTCATGAGTAGCGATATATAAATATATTTCCATCTTTCTGTCCAGCCAGCAAATGAGAATCTGTAGCTGACCATTTTACGAAAGACCAATTTTGATCTGGGCTGGGTGGCAGGAGGGCAGCACAGCGCCCCAGCACTAAGTCCCAGACAGCAATTGTTCCAGAAGTCAGGACTGCAGCTGCAAGGTGGTCTCGCACATCCCCTTCCAGGAACCTGCACCAAGAAGAGAGGATGGTTTATACCACACAACAAACAAGTTGGTTTTTACCAAGACGGACACGTTGGTGGCCCATGCCTGTAATTCTAGCTACTGAGGAGGCTGAGATCTAAGGAACTCAGTTCAAAGCCAGCCTGGGAAGCAAAGTTCACGAGACTCTGATCTCCAATTAAGCACCAGGAAACCAGAAATGGTGTTGTGGCTCAAAATAGTAGAGTGCTAGCCTTGAGTCAAAGAGCTCAGAGACAGTGTCCAAGCCCCGAGTTCAAATCCCATGACCAAAAGAAAAGAACCAGGCCAAAGCTGGGTGCTCATGCCTGTAATCCTACTCCACAGGCTTAGATCAGAGGATCATGGTTCAAAGCCAGCCTGGGCAGGAAAGTCCATGAGACTCTTATCTTCAACTAACCAGCAAAAAATCTGGAAGTGGAGCTGTGGTTCAAGTGGTAGAGTGCCAGCCTTGAACACAAAATGCTCATGGGCAGTGCCCAGGACCTGAGTTCAAGTCCCACTATGGACACCGAGAGAGAGGAGGTGGGGGGGGGAGGGAGAAAGGAGAGGGAGGGAAAGAAGGAGGGGGGGGGTCCCAAAGAAGAGTTTATCCCTTCCACATGCAGCCAGTGCATCTATGAAGGAGGAAGTACATCCTCCTAGGACACTGCAGCTGCCAGAACCCTGATCTTGGACCTTGCAGAGATGAACTTCCATTATTCATAACTGCCTAGTCTGTAGTATTTTGTTATAGCAACTCAAATGGACTAACAGATACTTCCTACAGGATTGGCCCCACATAGGCTATCAAGGTTTGCCGAATACATAGGGTTAATAAGATGCCAGAGCCAGCAGCTGTCTCCAGGACTAGTTTCTAGGCCAGTGACTAGGGCTCTGTCTTTCCATCCAAGACATCAAGTGGTTAAGTGAAAGCACACACTGCAGGTGAGATCTGAGGCTCTCAGAAAGGAGTATTCCATAAAGGTTACTAAGCATTTATCGGAGTAAATAAATACACAGGGACTTAGCTGGCTAAGTGCTTAAGGATGTCTTTTGCACAAGGTGCAAAGAAACATGCACAGTAACCCCTGGGCTCCTCGTCCTCAGGAACTGTTAAAGCTAATATTGTAATCTTGAGTTATGGTGTCTGTTTTCAATCCTTTTTCTCCAACACAGATAAAGGAAGTCTTTAGACTCAGATGCTTCCTGGGCAATTTGACTTCGATGCTGTTTTATAGCTCAGAAAACCCTTGAGGAGCAATGTGTCCAATCGTCCATTGACTGGTAAGTGTTTATCAACAGACTGCCTGCACAGTTGAGGCTCAGCTATGTCTCAAAGGGACAATCATTGTCTTCCTGAGGTACAAGGAAAAGTCCCTTAAATGAGCTCTGGTGGAAAGAACCTAAACTGTTCAGTTTCCAGCACAGCACAATCAATACATGGTGCTTTAAACATATTGAGTGAATGAACAAAAGAGTTGACATGCACACTGAAAAACCCCGGGTGGGGCCTCCACACTCTAGTCCTACAAACAGGGAGAGAGGTGGGACATCTCAGTGGGCAGGAGGACCCCCGAGCTCTAATTGGGGGCATCTCAGAAAGCCCACCAGGTCCAGCCACGTGGGAAGGCTTGGAAAGAGGCAAGGGGAGCGCAACCCTTGTAGAGACGCAGACACTCATACACATGTTGCCACATGTGTTTGGACACCACAGCCAGTCACACTGGGCCAGCTGCCCCATTTCCCTGACTGCATGGAGACAGGAGACTCAGTGAACCCCTGAGTTAATCCATACCTTCTGTGTACTCTGCACTTAAGAGTATAAGAAGTTGGGGCTGGGAAGGTGGCTCAGTGGTAGAGTGCTTGCCTTGCATGCCAGAGGCCCTGGGTTCGATTCCTCAGCACCACATAAGCAAAAAGCAAAAAAAAAAAAAAACTGGAAGTGGCGCTGTGGCTCAAATGGTAGAGGGCTAGCCTTGAGCTGAAGAGCTGAGGGACAGTGCCCAGGCCCAGAGTTCAGGCCCCACTATCGGACCCCCCCCCAAAAAAAAAGAGTATAAGAAGCTTCTGTTTGGTTTCAGGTGAAGGGAGAGAGGGAGAGAGAGAGAGAGAGGTGAAGGGGGAGGCTGTGTGTGTAGGACAGCCACCTTGGAGCCCCCTGTCAGCACATGCATGCTGTGGACCCACCTTGCATACTTCCTGCCGGCTTTGGGGCAGCCTCAGGCCATGTGCCCCACAGCTACTCAGGAGGCTGAGTTCTAAGGATCAGGGTTCCTAGTCAGCGGGGCAGGAAGAGTCACAAGACTCTACCTCCAATTACTGAGCAAGAAAACTGGAAAGAGCTGTGGTTCAAGTGGTAGGTGACAGGTGTGAGGCTTTAACATTTCTATGATGAGCTATACAGTAGGGTCTTTCTCATCTATCCAGTGACACAAGAATAATTTGTACAGTACCTTCCAAAGGGCCACACCCCCTAAACCAAAGCTGTAACCACTTGCCTTCCGGCCTGCCCTTGGGGCAGGCAATACAGCAGCACCCCCACACTCAGGGCAGTCTTGGGGTTGATCGCCACCAGCTGGAACACTGGGCTTCCCAACCACTCGCTCTCTTTGGCACAAGGGTGACTCAAAACCACAAACAGGAGCCCCTGGTGTAGAAGAAAAATAACCAGACCATCAAGAGCATACTCGGCAAAGACAAGATCAAAGAATAATAGGATTGATCAATAGGCTCCTAAACATCAGTGGTTCTCTCACTCTGCAAACAGGAAGTGGACTTGAGAGTTTAAGCATGGGTCCCAGGGGTACTGGGTGTATGGCTGAGCATGAGTCTAGATAAGCCATCATTTCCTCCACCTTTAGAGAAAGCCTTGGCACAGGTGTACAGCTAGCTTCCAGTGAAGAAATAGCCACATGTAAAGTGGCATTTGAAAGCTGAAAACATGTTTTCCTAAGAATAACTTGTAAGTGGAGGCTGAACTCTCAGGCAAGTCCAAAGAGCAGGCAAAAGCTCAGATGCTACTTGTGGAGTGACCTTAAAGAGGACATCATAGTTGGGCAAACATATGTTAACAGTCTCTCCCAACTTAGATAGTTCCTATTAACTTCTTTCTGTGTGTGTGTACTGGGGCTTGAAGTCAGGGTCTGAGCACTGTCACTTTAGCCTTTTCACTCAAGGCTGGCACTCTACCATTTGAATCACAGCTCTACTTCCCCATTTTGAGTGGTTCATTAGAGATAAAGAGTCTCATGGACTTTCCTGCTCAGGCTGGCATATAACTCTGACCCTCAGATCTCAGCTTCCTGAGAAGATAAGATTATGGGTGTGAGCCCCCTGTGCTCAGCTCAGATCCTGCTGTTATTACTGATGTATCTACAAACAGATGTAGCCATTCTCTTAGTAAGAAAGGGAAAATTAAACTATAGGGCCATTTTAGAATGAGTAACATGCACTTTCTACTTATCAATTTCTAGAATGAATGAATTTTTAAAATTATTCTATTTTTGTTGGTTGTGGGGCTGGAACTCAGAGCCTGGGCACTGTCCCTGAGCTCTTTATGCTCAAGGCTAGCGCTCTACCACTTAGAGCCACAGCACCACTTCTGATTTTCTGGTGGTTCATTGGAGAATCTCATGGACTTTCCTGCCCGGGCTGGCTTTGAACTGGGATCTTCAGATCTCAGCATCCAGGGCCTCTAGGTGTTCATGCCCTCAGGGTACCACTGATGCCAGGGTAGTGAATCCTGATTGCACCCACACTGCTGCCAATGCCTATGCATGTGGCTTTTCTTTTTCTGTTGGTCCTACGGCTTGATTCAGGGCCTGGGCCCTGTCTGAGAATTTTTTTTTTTTCTCTGTTTTTTTTTTTTTTTTTATCGGTCATGGGGCTCAACTCTGGGCCTGGGCACTGTCCCTCAGCTCTTCAGCTCAAGGCTAGCACCCTACCACTTGAGCCACAGTGCCACTTCTGGCTTTTTTCGGCTTATGTGGTGCTGGGGAATTGAATCAAGGGCCTTATGCATGTGAGGCTAGCACTACCACTGAGCCAACTTCCCAGCCCCATCTATGAGCTTTTTTGCTCAAGGCTAGTGCTATACCACTTGAGCCACAGCTTCATTTCTGACCCCACCCCCACCCCATCCTGGGCCTTGAACTCAGGGCCTAAGCACTGTCCCTGAGCTTCTTTTTGCTCAAGGTTAGCACTCTACCCTTGAGCTACAGTGCCACTTCTGGCCTTTTCTGTATATGTGGTACTGAGGAATTGAACTCAGGACTTCATGAATGTAGGCAAGCACTCTACCACTAAGCCACAGTCCCAGCCATCATTTCTGACTTTTTGCCAGTTAACTAGAGATAAGAGTCTCATAGACTTTATTGCCCAAGCTGGCTTTGAACCAGAATCCTCAGATCTCACTCTCCTGAGTAGTTAGGATTACAGGCCTGAGCCACTGGTACCTGGCATTGCACCTGGCTTTTCCATACACACTCATATCGATATTCCTAACCATACCTGGACAACTATGTGTCAGATGCTGAAACTAAGACCTAATACATGGGCTGGGAAGGTGGCCCAGTGGTAGAGTGCTTGCCTTACATGCATGAGGCCCTGGGTTCCATTCTTCAGCACCACATAAGCAAAAAGAAAAAAGCTGGAAGTGGCACTGTGGCTCAGGTAAGTGGTAGAGCGCTAGCCTTGGGCTGAAGAGCTGAGGGACAGCACCCAGGCCCAGAGTTCAGGCCCCACAATCGGACCCCAAAAAAAACAAAACAAAACCTAACACAATGGCCAAATAATGGTGTTTGTCCCTATAGAACAGCCAGAAAATCTAATAAGCAATCACAGTGTCCCAATACTTGTCTGCATTCAGAAACTTAAAAAAAAAAAAGGCAAACACAGCTATCCAATTGTAAGAAAGAAGGCAACAGGCCAGCCCTGTCCATGACTGTAGACACAAGGTAGGGCTGACAATCACTCACCATTTCAGAATAGGCTCTGTGACACACTGAGGCTTGGTAAGAATCGGCCATGTGCATTTTTTTCAAGAGTTGACCAGTCCTTAAATTCCTAAGACACCAAAAGTAAATAAGCTGACACCATCTTTCCAGCAAACTGTCTTGCAACCACAATATTCTTTTAGGAAGTGACCAAGGGAAAACTAAGGCACATATACCTTTGATTTGTCTTAGTCAAATTTAGCTAAAAGTAGAACTGTAGGTTAACTTCAACTACACAAGGCCTTAAATTGAACCCGGGGGGCCACTGGGACAAATGTCTCCCAAGTCCACAAGAAATTCTCCATGGTCTCTGTTTCTGTTTTTCTGGTCCTGAGATTTGAATTCAGCTCAGAGCTTGGGCACTGTCCCTGAGATGTTCTGCTCAAGGCTCACACTCTACCACTTGAGCCATTGCTCTACTTGCAGCTTTTTTAGTTTACTGGAGTTAGATAAAAGTCTCATGGACTTTCCTGCCTGGGACAGCTTTGAACCACAATCTTTAGATCTCAGCCTCCTGAATAACTAGGATTACAGGCCTGAGCCTGGCTATGGTCTCATTTTACTTGGGCAGAAACCAAGCACGAGGTACAGAATTGTTACTACATTTTTGTGACTTTTCTTGCATGCCTACATTTTCCAGGGAAGAAAATGGCCACGAAGGCAGACCTGGCAGGGTGAGGAATATAGCTGTAACAGATCATGTGTATTTACAATAGAGGTAGGCCAAGATAATGAAGACAGAAGAGAAGATTAAGCTGGGGCAGAATTGCGGGAGAGGAAGAACAGAGAGAAGATGGTACATGAGGAAGAAGGGAAGAGTTTGGGGGCTCTCCTCACTGTGTCAAGGATCTGTGGCACTGGTCCTGGCACCCCACCGTGGGCTCCTGATTACCATGAGACCTGTCTCATGTTGCATGATACCCTCACAAGGCTGGCCAGCAAGGCTTCACTATTCATGTATGCCTGCCACGTGTCTCTCTGGTCTAGATCTCTGCTCAGGTGCTCCTTTCCAATGCCCTTCTGTTACTGGCCCATTTCCCACCATCCCATAGGCCAAGTTTAGGTCTCATACCTCCAAGATGCAGAAAGCTAAATTAGCTTCCTCCTCCGCTTATGCCAGCTCACGGTCACCCCCTCTCTTCTCACTCCCTGTAGTATAGTCCCTATACCTCACTTTCATTTTAATACATGCAATAATGGGTATGACAAGCCATCTAACAAATATAAAGCTTTCTTTGCACAGGAACTATATGCAAAGACCTTGAGAAAAGCTAGATGCAGTGGGTCATGCCTGTAATCTCAGTTACTTGGGAGGGAGAGGGCAAGAGGATCATGGTTTGAGGTCGGCTTGGGCAAAAGTTAGTGAGATACCCCTTACCCAATCTCAAGAAACAGGCAAGGCATGGTGGGTCACTCTTAAATCCTAACTATGTGGGAGGCTTAAGTAAGAAGAATAAAGTCTAAGGCTAACCCTGGGCAAAATGTGTAAGACCTTATCTGAAAAACAGGCAAAAAGGGCTGGGGATATGACTCAAATGGTAAAGAAAATAGGAAGGTTAGTGTTCAAACTCTAGTACCAACAAAAACTAAACCAACCACCACCAAAGGGAACAAAAATTAAACAACAACAATAACAACAGGGCTGTAAATGTGGCTTAGTGGTAGATGCTTGCCTAGCATGCAGGAAGCCCTGAGTTCGATTCCTCAGTACCACATAAACAGAAAAGGCCAGAAGTGGCGCTGTGGCTCAAATGGTAGAGTGCTAGCCTTGAGTAAAAGAAGCTCAGGGACAGTTCCCAGGTCCTGAGTTCAAGCGCCAGGACTGGCCAAAAATAAGTAAATAAAATAAAAACAAATTTAGAGAGGGAAGTCCTTATATGTATATGAAGACCCAAGGAAAGCTTACCAGATGATGACATTGCTCAAGACAGTGGTGCCAAGCAGAGCTTCCTGCATCCCCTGCACCTCGGCGAAAGTCAGCACAGTCTCTTCAGGGGGCATCAAAAACCGCTTCTCTTTGCTTCTGCATTGAAGATAGTATTAAAAATCAAGACTTTGCACCAAAGCAATGTCTAAATAGCGCTTGTATCTATCATAAACTGTATATAATAAAAACTGACCTAATACTGGAAGAAGCATTTAAAGCAGAGAATCTGTATTCTAGACTCTCTACGACAAACATATAATCTGCTTCCACATTATGTACTTGTACATGCTATAGGCATCTCATATGCATCGTATCCAATACTAAACTCATCAACTTTCTCTTTAAATCTCATTTCTTGAAGCCAGGAGCAGGTGGCTCACGCCTGTGATTACAATCCTAGCTACTTGGGAGACTGAGATCTGAGAATCACAGTGCAAAGCTAACCTGGGCAGGAAAGTCTGTGAGACTCTTATTGCCAATCAAGTACTAAACATCAACAAAACAGTCATAAGTAAAGCTGTGGCTCAAATGACAGAGCCCTAGTTTTGAGTAAAAAAACTCAAGGACAGCACCCAGGCCTTGAGTTCAAACCCCAGGACCAACACACAACACATACACACACAAAATCTCATTTCTTTAGCATTTCTCAACAACTGTACAACCACTTCCCAAGTCACCAGTCCTAAAATCTGGCTATCGATCTTTCCAACTTCCTCTAAACTTCCTCTAAGTCCAATCCATCATCAAGCTGCAGGGATTTATGGTTTCTAGTCTTCCAGGTTCCTCTCACTAACACTCTCCTAACTAGAGCATGTTACTTGTCTTTTAAGACAGCCAAGGTCCCTGTCCTGCTATTAGGAAAGACAAAGAATTAATAATTATTAAGTGACCAGGTTCCAGTGGCTCACACTTGCAATACTAGCTACTGAGATGGCTGAGCTCTGAGGATGGCAGTTTGAAGCCATATAGAGCAGGAAAGCCAGTGAGACTCTTATCTCCCAATTAATTACCAAAAATCCAGAAGTACAGTTGTGGCTTAAGTTGTAGGACACTACCCTTGAGCAAAAAAGCCAAGGGAGAATAAAAGACCTGAGTTCAAGCCCCAGTAATGGTGTGTGCATGTGCATGCGTGCCTGCACACACGTACACACATGAATAAAAAAATAAAATAGAGCTGGGCACTGGTGGATCACGCCTGTAATCCTACCTACTCAAGAGGCTGAGATCTGAAGATCATGGTTCAAAGCCAGCCCTGGGAGGAAAGTCCATGATACTCTTATCTCAAATTAAACACCAGAAACCGGAAGTGGTGCTGTGGCTCAAGTGGTAGAGTGCTAACCTTGAGCTGAAGAATTGAGGGACAGCGCCCAGGCTCAGAGTTCAAGCTCCATGACTAACAAAAATAGTAAATAAATAAAATGGAACAGGCTCAGTGGGAGAGTACATGCATGAGGCCCACAGTTCAATCCGTAGCACTATAAACAAAATTAAAGGAAAAAAATGTTGTGAGTATGGTTTTCTTTATGTTGACTTTGAGGTGCCCACAGAGGGCTGACAAGCAGCCTGAGAAAGAGATAAACTAGAAATGTACATTTCAAGTACGAGCATCCAGATGGCAAAGACACCAAGTATGAGGAGCCAGGAAAGAGCTCAAGACCTGAAGGACGTCTAACACAGAGATTTCATTTTTGTGTGTGTGTGCCGGTCCTGGGGCTTGAACTCTGAGCCCCGGGACTGTACCTAAGTTTTTTGTTTTGTTTTGTCAAGGCTAGTGTTCAACCACTTAAGCCACAACTTTCACTTCTGGCTTTTTGGTTTTTTTGTAGTTAATTGGAGATACAGAGTGTTGCAGACTCCTGTCCTAGCTGGCTTTGAACCATGATTCTCAGATCTCAGCCTCCTGAGTAACTAGCTCATTCCATGAACTACCAGGGTCCAGTGACACAAAGATTTCAAAGAAGGCTGAAGAAAGAAGAACCTCTCTATCTGTAGACTTCCTCCCTGCCCCTCCTGACTTCTACCTATCAGACCTACTTCTAGATTGTGACCCTGGGTTGAGGGACTTCCTGCTCGCCTCTAGCACAGGGGAATGAGATTCCAGGGATCTACTGTCTCTGAAACCTCTGACGAACAACTCTCTAACTAGTAGTCAAGATCATCTGGTGCCTTCCTTACCCGCCATCCTCAGCCAGTGTCATGACTTCCACTTGCTGATCACAGGGGACCCCACTGCTGCAGACTAGCCGCCTCTTTGTCAGGCCAAGCACAGCCTTTATATTTCCAGATTGTAGGAGCACATGCCTTTCACTTTCATCACCACAGGACCAAAGCAATGCCCTAAGCCAAAAGGCAAAGAACTATTAAAAGACTAATACAAAGTTTAAAACAAACATCAATCAGACATGACATGATTTAAAGAAAAAAAAAAATCTTCCTTTCAATTCAGATTCTTGAAAGAATCTGAACTCAAAACAAGCTAACAAAGACCAAGAAAACACAACACACACAAACCACACCAAGACCAAATAGCAGTCACTCCTTGGGACTTCCATACCTGATTTCTCTGATTTCCAAAGTTCCCAATGCCACACACACCAGATTAGAAACCTCGGGTACTGGAACTATTTGTAACACTGGAACCTAGATAAAACACAGTTAAAATTGTATTTTGTTGTTTCAGTTTAAATCAAGCTACATTTCCCAAAATTTTGTACATTGTTTTGTAGCCTTACTATACCAGGATTATTTCCAACATTGAAGTACATGTGAGAAGGTTCTGGAGCCACCTTGTACACAGTGGTTAGTTAGCACCCACCTCAACCTTATTGTACTTTCTCTTTCCTTTTCCTTTTCTTTGTCTAATTTGTGTGTGGTAGTATTGGGGCTTGAACTCAAGGTGCTGTTCCTGAGCTTCTTTTGCTCAAGGCTAGTGCTCTACCACCTGAACCACAGCTCTACTTCCAGCTTTTTTTTTTTTTTTTGTAGTTTAGTGGAGATAAGAGTCTCAAAGCCTAGGAATGTGGCTTAGTAGTAGAGCACTTGCCTAGCATGCATGAGGCTCTGGGTTTGATTCCTCAGTACCACACAAACAAAAGGTCTCACAGACTCTCCTGCCTGGCTGGGTTCAAACCACAATCCTCAGATTTTAGCCTCCTGAGTAGTCGGGATTACAGGCTTTTTTTTTTTTTTTTAATTATGAAGGCTGGCATTCTACAACTTAAGCCATCCAACTCTTTTTGGCTGGTTAATTGGAGATAAGATAGCTAAGATGACAGTTGTGAGCCATCAGAGTACCCTACTCAAAATTCTTTTAGGACAAGGCCTTGAATTATGGCCTGTTTCTGTCTTCCAAGTAGCTATGACTACACATGTGCAACCAAGCCCAGAAAGCTAGCATTTATCTAATACTATTTATATCTCTAATTTTGAGAGGGGAAGGGCTGAGTAAATTCTAGCCAGTGAATGTAAAGAACATTATACTTAAAGTATATGTGTATCCCAGCTACTCAGATGACAGAGAAAGAGATGAAGGGGAAAGAAGGCAGATGTAAGCATGTTTAGAAGTCAGCAAAATTCCAAGCTCCTGCAACAGGCCTCGTATAGTCCTTAATAAAAAGTGTTAAGACAAATAAAGCTTTATGCTGATGGTAGGGTCAAGATGGTGGCCCACGGACACCCACATCACAATTCTTTGAGATTTTTTCATTAATATGGAGTGGGAAATAAGCCAGCCCTTGTGTTCTGTCATGCACAATTCTGCCAAGTTGTCAATCTACATGATCACAGCCTGCAAAGATGCCTTTCAGCTTGGAGGTTCACACTCACCTCTGTGAAGTGCCAGGTGTACATTTTCTCCCATTGCCACGTACGCAGCGGCTTCCAAAGAGAAACTGCGTATTCACAAGCAGTTATGATGCATGGCTCCTTCAAGCCAGCTTGTTCCCACCACAGGGCGCTCACATCCACGGAACAGGAACTGCAGGGGTTCTGACCCAGAACGGCAACAACAACGATGTTAAAGGGACCCCTGCAGTCTATGTTATGACAAGAACAAGCATGTACTCAAAACAGCGCTGTGGCTCAAGTGGTAAAACGCCAGCCTTGAGTGAAAAAGCTAAGGGGACAAAGCCCAGGCCCTGAATTCAAGCCTCAGGACCTGTACAAAAATAAAGAAAGGAAGAACAAGTACGCCAAGTGATACAGTACAAGGATGAAATGAAATGCTAGAGAAAGAAAGTGAAAGTTTTATACAGATTCCAAGAAAGCTTTATGGGTCTTATGTAGCTATACTGCCTATATGCACTTATTTAAATCACGATAGCTTTTAGATCTAGCAGCAGACACATTCTGATTTAAGCACAAAAACGAGCTTAGCCATTTGGAAATGAAGCATCTTGATGAAAACACACAAGTTAATGGTAATAACACTGAACCACACAGTGTACCCCTTTTGAGGACAAGAATGCATGTGAAAACCTATTAAGTGCCAAACTGATGGACATGTCCATAGTCCTAGCAATTGAGAGGCTGAGGCTAGAGAATCTTGAGTTTGAAAACTAGTCTGGATAGTATAGTGAGTTATGTCTTAAAAGTAAAACTGCTGTGTGGTGGTGGTTCATGCCTGTAATCCTAGCTACTCAGGAAGCTGAGATATTGGGATTGTAGTTACAAACCAGCAGGGGCAGGAAAGTCCATGAGACTTTTTTTCCTTCTTGGTCCAAGGCCAGGACTCAAACTCAGTACTTGTATCTGCTTTCATTCTACCAACTGAGCCACTCCTCCAACACCCCCACCCCCACCAAAAACAAAACAAAACAAAAAGCCAAAAGTAGATCTGTGGCACATGGTCCAGTACTAGTCTTAAGCAAAAAAACTAAGGAACTATGAGTTTCAGGACCTGAGTTCAAGGATAGGCACCAAAAACAATACACATACTACCACCACTACCACCACCACCACCACCACTACCACCACCACCACCACCACCCCCCACAACTCCTGAAACACCAAACAATAAAACCCTCAAATCTACAAAGCATTGTGTTAAAGCAGTATTTCCAAGAAAAATTCACCATCATAAAGGTATGAGAGAAGAAAAACTGATTAAAATATGAGGTATGAAGTTTAAGAAGTCAGTAAAACCAAAAGAAAATGATGGCACAAGGTGAGAACAACCTACCTATAATCCTAGCCCTAAGGAGGCTGAGGCAGGAGGACTGTGAGTTCAAGGCCAGCCTTTGCTGGTGCAGTGGCTCACACCTGTAATCCCAGCTACTGTGGAGACAGTGGTCAGCAGTACCTAGTTTCAGGGTAGCAGGGGCAAAGTTAGCCTAACCCCCATTTCACTCAGTTCCTAGGTGTGGTGATATACACCTGTCACCCTAGCTATGCAGAAAATATAAAAAAGCCTTAAATGTTAAGATACAAACAACATAATAAAATTGTTAAGAAACTAAGTTTTAAAATTGACGATAATAGTTTTGAAATGGAGCAGTGTGAATCTTTCACAGACAAGGAGTCTGTGCTGGAGCTGATCTGATGTAACTGGTGAAAGCATTTTTTGTATCTTGAAGCTGTGATTCTCCTCTAGGCAATATTCCAATTATCATACCACAAAGAAGAGCATTTCAGGGGCTGGGAAGGTGGCTCAGTGGTAGAGCGCTTGCCTTGCATGCATGAGGTCCTGGGTTTGACTCCTCAGCACCACATAAGCAAAAAGAAAAAAGCCGGAAGTGGCGCTGTAGCTCAAGTGGTAGAGTGCTAGCCTTGAGCTGAAGAGCTGAGGGACA